AAGGCTGGCAATCGTCTCTGCTTTTGTTTTGGTCAACAAACCCCACAAGAGTATAAATCCAACGTTGGATGCCACAGACATGTAATGAAGAGATGTTGGTGGGTTTCCCAACAAACCTCAGATAGAGATCCAACACCGACATGTCACGAATAAAGTCCAATTTAATAACAGTGCTGTGCAGTTAAAATGAGAAAACACTGTGACCAAAAGACAAAATTAAAGAGAATAAGAATGTCAAGTCTGGTAGGTCAGGGTTCTACTTGAACCAAACACCAACGAAAAACAGCGATTTCAAGTGAATGTGGTTTTGCAAGTTAAACATCAAGCAGGAGTCGCAAACATTCAGTCCATTTGTCCCTGTCCGTCCTGTCAACCTGTCTTTTAAAACAGACATTCAAGGAGTTCCTCTGTTCAACAAACTCCAACAAAAGATCCCATTTGTTCCCACTAATGATTTCAATCTTTCTCTGGTTGGGTTTTTAAAGACATTCTTTGCTCACAGAGGAATAAATCGTACAGTCGTTGGTTTTTACCTGTGACCTAGTGCTCATTAAGTGGTTTGATGTTTGTGGAATGAACTAAAGCTAAACTCAGTCACTGGAGGAACATGTTCTCTGCTCATCGGTTCCTACATGAGATAAAAATATAAGTTCTTCACAATGTTGGGTTTTTGCAGAAACCCATTGTGTCACTATTTTCCAACTCATTACAGATGACAGTACTGATATAAGCAGATGTATTTTCCATCTAATTGCAAAAAAACGTTCACATTCACCAGAAAAACTATGAAAGCTACTTCCAGTTAAACACGCCGTAATTATTTTACATTTTCAAACCAAACCTATCAGCCCGTCAGCGTCGATCGAGGCCGATGTTTAAAGCTTTTATTGGCCGACAGCAGCGATAACACTGCTATCATTGTGCTTCCTTGATAACTTTATTTATAATCCGTACACAGTAATTTCCTATAACAGCCGAGTAGCTGTTGTTTAAGCAAACACAAGTCAAACAGGAGGAAATAGTGGATTTGCTGCGGTCGGCTGCAGAATCACCAGTGATCATAAATGGAGAGCAGGACTGTGAAGGTGGGAGTGAAGTTAAACGGACAAGACACACATTGTGGATTTAGTCCTTTTTTATTGGATATGGAAATAAAAAAATAAGGAAAATTGCCAGCCTTATCCTTTGAGCTACATGGATGAATGCAGTTAAAAGATGTTTTTAAATAAATTATTGTACATCAGATGGTTGGAGATAAAGATTACGGTTCTGTTTATTGACATCAGTTCGTAAAATATCTCAAAAACTTTCAGATTTAATTGGAAGACGTTCAAATTCTCAGACATTTTCCTTTAGATTTTCACTTGTGAAAACACACTTTGTTGCTCGTTCTGTTTTACCGGCAAGTTTATGAACATTTAAATTATGTTCAAATATTTTTTTTTAGTCCAAATCAGACTTGTAGCCCTTAACACTCGTAGTTTTTATTTTATTCATCTCTACGTGTGCAATCTATTGATGGATCTAACTGGAGACATTTTAGACTTTAGAGCAAATAAGGTCTAAATGTTGGTGTTGTTGTGTGACGATAGATGGCTTGTTGTCTTATTGTAAGTCGCCATATCGGAGCAGACGTTTATGTTCATCTATGGTAGATTTTTTAAAAAGAGAAAAAAAAAGCATTTCCTCCACTGAGCCCCACATGAACAGGATGCCAAGTTTTCCTCTTTTCTATGGCTGCCCCCCTCCTGCTCCTCCTCTGGACATGTCCTGTTTGCATGTTCTGAAAAAGAAAATGTGCATGTGCGAAAAAACACCAAGAGAAAAACGACAAAAAAAAAAATAATCTAGTGGTATTGTTTGGCTTCATTAAGTCCATGATTTGTACAATTTGTATTTTCTGATTAATCTAAACACACAATGTATCGGTTTCAGGTAAAAGAAAAAGAAAAAAAACAAGCTTGAATAACATTTTCTTCTCACAAGAACCACCAAAGTGGAATCGAGGCTTCTTTCTCAGAAAAGAGGTTCTGGAGTGGCTGAACCCTTCGCTGCCTGATCTGTTACTTGACTGTCTCTCCCGCAGTCATTTCGACTGTACCTATAGATTTTGTATGAATATAAGTCCTTGAATAAAAGAGGTATGATTATGACACTGCAGCGTGTGCATGTGTGGGTGTTGCCCTGTAGCTGGAGTTGATGTTTAACAGAATTTTACTGGATCTGAAGCCAGTAAAGAATCCATATTTACTGTTAAATGTTGTTTGTTTAGCTAAATGAATACATACATGTGCTTTTTTTCATCCATTTTCTAACACTTATGTAGGAGAAAATAAAAAAAAATAGCTTGAATAGTTCTTTTTGTCAAAGTAAAAGAAGGTACAAATTAGAGATTTCTTAGATTTGTGTCCAAAATGAGGTTCAAACTGCATATAAATGTGTTTTATCTGGTTCATCTCGTGGGTCTGATTCACAGGAACAAATCACAGGTTACTTCTGACCTTAAATTAAATGAACAGAGAGTCGACTGACTGAGAGAATCTGCTGCCAAACTGAGTTCATGAAGGTTTGAAATGGTAAAAAAAATAAAAAAGAAGGATTGAGACACACCTTTGGGAAGAGCACGTTGCATGAAAACAATGCATCACCGTTATGAAAAGGTGAACTTGTTTCTTCACAGTTTGATTTGCTGCCCAGTAAATCACAGCCGGCTTCTAGTCACACAGTGTTCCAGCAAAACAGAACGACTGGAAATCAGACGTCACTCAAGATTTGTGTCCATCTTGCAGACAAACATGTTTCTCCATCAGCTGTTTGACAATAACAGCAGGTAAGTCCATCTGACACTCTGCTGACTGACAGAGAAGGAGCCATGAAACGTCTGCACTCGATGAGGACAGGATTAAACTTTCTAAATCCTGAAGTTAGTTCTTTGGCCAGATACAGCTCAGAAAACCAAACTGATTGTGATAGTTCTGTAGTTCATTTATTCTTCTTCCTATTATTTCAGACTAAGGGTTCCTTTCAGTATTGACCCAACATCCAACCACACAGTCAGACACATTTAGGCTGCATTCCAAATTGCTTCCTTTCTACTTTTACTTTCAGAATATTTCATGCCTCATGGGTGTAACTGGGACAAACATGATTGGTCAAAAGACTCACTAGACCACCACCTGATGTCAGGTTTATGCCACAGCTGCCCGAAATTAGCAGAATTGATAATGACCAAAGTCATTTATTATGTTTCTGTGATGGTTAATACACCAGAATGTAGAAGCTTTTAAACCAAAATTATATTTTTAATGCTAGAATTTAATTATTATTATTATCCATGAGTTTTCAGATGAACTGTTTTACCAAAAAAAACATGAAAAAATAGTAAAGCACATTATTATTTCTCGATTAATATGTCAGATTATAGTTATTTACTAGCATTCCTGAACAGATTATGTAGTTTCAGTGGTTGAATGTTGTGCTTCTCAGAGAAGCCCAGTGGCTCAGGTTTGGGTATAAAAAGGTGAATTCTGTTTGAAATTCCTCCTTCCTGTTCAAAACAATAAAACGTGGAGAGCTGAGTGCAAAGTAAAGCCCTTTATGATGCTGGATGGTCTATATATAGATAAAAATGTGTTAAGCGCTGCACACTGTAATTTATCGAGAACAAAATGAAGTAAGAATGAACAAAAAAACCAAAATGATCAACCAACCAAATCACTTCCTAACTGGACAAATCAACATCCCAGAAGTTGTTTACTTCAGTTTACTGTGATGATTTTTTTTGTATATTATTCTGTCTTAAGCTTTGACTGCTGCAGTCTGTGGTGTGAAATGTCATCTGTCTGTTCTCTCACTGGTTTCTTACACCGTGATGTGACTGTGCAGAGGATCCACCAGAGCAAACATGCACGTTTTCATTCAACCAGATGTAGCAGGACGTCCTGGTATCGTTGGCATACTACCTACCATGTGCTGCAACATACCAAATCTATTTCTCCTCTCATGTATACTTTGATAGTGTGGATGGTGTCGGTATATCCAGTCTCATTCTGTGGTATATCTGAGCCAGCATGCTTGTCTTACTGCTCTGACCCACAATCCTCTGCTCAGTTACTTCACATTCGCTGTTTTTGCACGAGTACAAACAAGCTGCTGAGAGTTTGGCGGACAGATGACGGCTCATTTCACACTTCAGACTGCAGCTGATTTACGAGCAGGACAGTCAAAGTTTACGGTGCGATACGATGATAAATAAGTGTGTCCCAGTTGTACGCATGTGGCATGAAACACTTTGTACGTTCAGAAGAACAGAAGAATGAAGTGGTTTGTTGGACAGCCAATCTCCTGATCGTCCCTCATGTCTCACCTGAGGAGCTCTGTCAGGATTCACACCAACACACTCCTTTGTTTGAAACATCTTGTGATTTTGTTTTCTAGCCTGATTTTGATCTTGCATGAGTCCTGGGAAGCCTGTAAGCATCTTTTATTCACTTCATTCCTGCACTTTTTGGAAGTCTGAGCCCGCAGCTGTTTGGTTCCAGTGAAGAGATGAAAAGTCCAAATGTGTCTGGGTGGGTTTCTACACACACACACACACACACACACACACACACACACACACACACACACACACACACACAGAATACAAATCTTTCTGATCAAACATTTGTGGAACAAGTTGGACAAAAGGCTGAGGAAGAAAATGGGCGGAGGTCCTGCAGGATTTTAATTGGGCCGCATTACAAAGAAAGGGGGCGGGGCCTGAGCTGGCTGTGATGTGATGCAGCTGCAGGAGGAGAGAAGCTGCAGGAGGAAGGTGAGGAAGAGGAGGATGGCAACTTAGTTCCTCTGCACTTCAGCGAGACGCTCAGAGAAGATGAACAGCTCGACCTTCACTTCGGTTTAACTGGACTTTTATCCAGAAAACACACTTGGGCACTTTTTCTTTCTACTTTGCATATGTTCAGTCCTCACGTTGCGGAGGAGATCTCAGCGGGAAGATGTTGCTCTGCTGCTGGACGTGGACGCTTTGCCTCCTCGGGCTGCTGAGCTCCGCCTCAGCTGACGATGCAGCAGCAGCAGCGGCGGTGGTGGAGGACTTCGGAGGCGAGTCCGGCTCCGGGATGCTGCAGGCAGGTAAGAGTGGAGGAGGACACCTGTGGAGCCTCATACGACAATATCAGTGCAGAATCAACCTGCCTTATGGCGCTGTTTTACCCATGAAAAGTGCAGAAAATGTCAAACTTTTGCAGCAGATGTTAGATTTAATGTTGAATGAGAAGGTTTCATGTCATGTTTTTTCACATTTGCATCCCAAAAACTCAAAATTAAGACCCTTCAGCTGAGTTTGTAAATGATGGCTGCATGCAATCTTCTTTATTCATCTGAAACTTTGCAAAAATACTCAAAATTACAAGTAAAGCCTGTTTTTCTGCATCTTTGAGCCTCTTTGAGAAGTTTCTCTGTGAAGAGTTCTGGGCTTCTTCATAACTTTTATCAACTTGTGCAAAATATAAACTTCTCTAAACTTCAGCCTTGAAATTTTCACCAAAATCTCCACTTTCGTGACAAAAAGCTGCTTTAGATTTCTTTAAAAGTCGGCCAGCTGTGAATTTGTCATTCACTGATGCAGCTGTTTCTCCAGTAAACGTCACATCTGAAATATGTAGTTTTCATGAAAACTCGTCTCTCTGAATGTGTCCTCTGCTGATGCGTTGATAAAAAGCTCCATCAGCCTTTAAACCTGCAGGACACCAGCCGGCTGACACGTTAGTCCGTTTATCAGCTGGACCGCATTACATCATTTGTTGAGTTCAGTTTGGATCCAGATGAAAAACTTCCTCCTCCGACACTCAGCAGCTCCTCTCAGTCCAAGCTGCTCTTTTTGTTCTGTTTCAAATGAACCCAAGAACACTTGTAGGCTGAGTGAATAACTTAGTTTGGCAGCTGCAGAGCAGCAACCCTCCAACCACAATGAAACAATGAGGCTGCAGCTATTTTCACTACAGCCTTATTACTTTTAATGGTGTTTTTTCAATTAGTCTGACAGCTTCTCATAGACGAAAACACGACCTTAAGGAGCTTTTTTGGGCCACAGTTGTAATTCAAATTCAAAGCCCGCCGATATTTATTCCACATCAACAAGTTTGCTCATAAATTTAAAGCCCTTAAGCTGCAAATCAGACTCATTTAAGTACTTTACACTTTTAGAAAACAGCCTTTAATGTTTATTGCTGCTGCTGCCGTCTTGGCGCTTATCGTGCACCTTAATTGTCTGAATCGTTATCAAACGTCTCAATCAATCCCTGATTAAATCCTTTATCTCTGCATTAAACACTAAACACTCGCTTTCATCATTTTTTCTAAGTTCACTGGAGACGTTTGGACTTGCTGGATGCATCGTTCTCACTGAATGTCTCGAGGTTTTCATAAAACACATGTGGAAACTGAAGCCAAAGTCATCCGCAGTTATTAAATCGCGTGGAATGCTTTTATTGTGCCAAGCAGACTTAGTTAATCACAACACTGTTTTCCAAAAAAGCAGCCCCGTTGTCTCGTCAGTGCCTCCATTGTCTGGACCGTCTTTGTTTTATCAGTGCTGTTGGTGCTGTGACAGCGGCTGCAGGGGTTAAACTGCCACTTTGAGCCTTTTAATCCTTCCAAAACCGGGGAAACTGATCCCAGGTTGGAGCGGTGCCAGGCGCCCCAGTATGTCACGACCGGGATCTGCAGCATCACACGTTGTTTACTCTGCAGTTTGGGTGTTATCACGTTTTCCTGTGTTGAAGCCGTACAGGAGACCCAGAGAAGCAGCTGAGAGCTTGGATTAGACCCGGTGAGGCTGCAGACGAGTCCCGTGGAGTTTTGATTGGGTCCAGCCTGCTGGATGTTTTCACTGTGTGTTTGCAGAGTTACTGTAGATGGCAAAGTGTGAAAGCATTCAGTGTGCATCACTGAACAGACGGCTGGTTACGTAATGAGTAAGAATGTTGGGTTCTGTCTGCTGTTGTTGGGTTTCGTTGGCTGATTCTTGACCTGATCCAGATGAACTCATTTGGGAGTTTGAGATGCTGATGCAGTGAATCATCACCTGAATATGAGGCAGCAAAAACTGAGTTTCCTCAAATGAAAAGCAACATAATAGATAGAATAGATTTGCTCGTTGATCTGTGCAAAACCTAAAACTTAGAGGAAGTTCTTGAATGCGCATATTTCTAAAAAACATACATACTCTGTAAAAAGTCAGTGGAAGCTGTTCGCGCAACTTAATTAAATGCATATTTGCAAGATAAAAACCTAAGTTAATGATTTATATGTACCTTTTAATCATTATTTTGATCGGTTGGGTTGCGTCAACTTAGCTTTGTGTGTCAATTCAACTCAAATTTCTGCATTAGCTGAATTCAAACTAAATTTAAGTTGAGGTAACTTAGTAAAATTGGCTTGATAGCTTCATTTTTCTTCACTTTGAGTTCAGGATTTCAAGTCACCTCCTCTGTCTTAACATTCTTGGACAATTTAAGAATGTTTGGGCTGCTGATTCAAAAATACCTAATTCCTCTAACTCAACTTAGTTTGTTGATTGAACATAACATCGGTAGAAGTTGTTTTAGCTGAAACAGACAGAAGCAAACTGTTGCGCTAAATAGTTTTGTTGAGACCAAAAAAAGTCTAGCACCAAAAACAGACTCAGACCAGGTTGGTTTACATGATTTTGTCTCCTCCAGAGAGAACGTTACAGCGAGATGCAAGAAAGGAATGTGAGGACGGTGGAGCTGCCAAATGAGAAATCCTTCGTTCGATTCCTTACGATGTGCTGCGCAGCTGCACCACCTGTCCGACATTTACACGCCCCGACACTTAATAACAGACTTCCTCGTAGGATACATCTGTGTTTCCTCAATCAAAGCTCCTTCTGAAGCCTCCTCATCTCTTCAAGGTGGATTTAAGTAATTGGCAGATCCTCCATGACAGTAGGGGGGAACAGTTCTGGTGTAATGGGAGCAGAGGGGATGTGAGGTTAGTGAGTTAGCAGAATATAAAGCATCCCTGGACTGTGCAGCCTTACAGTTACTTAGCTGTGACATTTCTATCAGCAGATGTTTATCTGGTGAGATTAAGGTCTTCGAATGGAAACGAAATAAACAAGTAGCTGACCAAGTGCATGAGCGGTGACCTTAAGTTACCCATAACACCTTGAATTTGCATTATAAAGCCAAACACTTAGATGTCTCCTTTATCTGTGGAGTTTGTTTCCATATTTACTAAATGTAATTCCAGTTTAATTGCAAAAAACAATCCGAACTTACAATCATATCAACTTTGATCGCAGTTGAATGAAAAGATGAGAAGAAAGAGGCAACAGAAAAACCCTGCGAATACCCTCCACCGTGATCTGTTGCTCAACAGTCGCTCACCTTCATACCTGAACCCTCTGTGACTGCAATAAATCACACATACTGTGCGCGAGGCATTCCTTTCTCTCACATTTGATGAATTGCATTCATTCGCACAATGACGTTAAACCAAAAAAATTCCTCTGCAGTTGATTTATCTCTTGTACAAAGGTGTCATTGTCGAAGCGGCTCAGATTAGACTTTGAAGCCACTTTCTTTATGTGCAGTTTATTAGACCGGTGGTGAATAGATAACTCTGTGCAGACCTTTAATCCTGTCTGCCACCAGTCTGCGAAGGTATCGTATAGTTTCTGTACCACCTGTGCATGTGGTTTTTAGGGGAAGGTGTGGAGGTAACAGTCAGGTTTTAACCCGCATGTTGCAGGAAATTAAACCAAATTTGTGAAAAAAACTATCAAAATAAAAGTAAGCAACTGAATTCTCCTGAGATTTGCAAGTTACAATTGTGAGAGAATCCATATTTCCAGGGTCCAAGCTATGAACTGAGAGCTACAGATGCATTTGTCAGTTCGTCCAATCATCTAGTAAGAGAATTTTTGGAAACCGTTTCCAAGGATGTCGTCTGTGTAGCAAATCATCTGGCACAGCAGGTTATGTGCCTCCATGCACGACCAAAAATTAGGAGTTGGGCACATTTTAAGGAACACTAGGTGGTGCTAAATCTCCAGCTGGGTGCTAATAACCATTGCAGAGGACAATGACACAGTGAAACATCCTCCTGACCCAAGCTTCATAGCTTTTAGTGATATTTTGAGGTGGATGGAATGTTGCTTTGCCATTAAAGTTTCTACAGACCATAATGAACATGTTTATTTTGTGTTTTAGCGCCACCATTCTGCCAAAATGTCCCCTTTATTATCGTCATTGTATTTTCTGACGTATTCATGCTCCACTGAGGATGGACCTTTTACATTTTTGACCCATCATGCTCTAGTTGTCTGCTTCTGCTTACAAGATGTCACAAAGTAATGGAGAGATTATTTCATGGAACCCATGTGAATGTTTGTGATCCTAGAGAATGGAATCAAATATCTTTGGCTTTTCCTCAAACTTCCTCAAAAAATTTTACTTGTTGTTCGAATGTAATTGGGAGAATTTGGTTCCATTTTCAGCATATTTGGGCCGACCTGTCAACTCTTTGTAAGAGATAACCAATAATTTTACAAACAGATTGTCATAAAATCATTGGAGCATATTCGTGCTTTCATGAGAATTACATTTCTTTGATTTTTATGGGCCTTTATTGGCCATATTGTGGAAAATCCTCCACATACTTCTGTGTACTTTTGGTCTGAGGCCGTGATGATGGTTTGGAATTGACCAATTAGTGTCAGGGACACAGCAGACAAAGTGAAGTCTGTCAAGTTTTCAGATTAACTGTCAACAGTCTCCTAGATGCAGCTGCACACTATATATGTTGAAAACATGAATAAAAAATGATTGTGGGCACATCTGCCTGCCCGTAGCTGTATGGCATATGCATTTCTGCCATTTCCAATCCATCCATTCATCCATCCCTCCGTCCATCCATCCTTCCAGTTAGCCATATCCAGCTGTGATGCTCCCATATGTCTTGAATAGCTTAGTGTAACCTCTGACCCTGTGAGATGAGTATCGCTGGAGTAAAGTCTGCAGAACAGCTGCTGGGAAGAGTTTTGTGATGGCTCAAAGAAGTGTGTCTGAGAATCTCCAAACCTCTCAGCATTACACACTAACTCA